AAATCGCATCAAATTTGGGTTTCAAAAGAATTTTAATCAAAAAAAGGAAAATTGATCTGTTAGATGAATTTTTTTCTTGCACGACCATGCCGCCTTTTCACTGCATACGTGCTGCCAAAGATAATTGGCCTCATGGTTGAAGAAATGATGGCTCAAGTGTGCGCCGTACAAACCCTCCCGCTAGAGCCATTCACATGGTTTCGTCTCTAAACAGTTATCAATATTTTCGCCATAACTTATTGCTTTTATATTCGATTGAGGTGATTCAAAATATGCTCGAAAACTAATTCAAAGAGATATAATTCCTCTAGAATTATCAATTTTCCAATTCGAATGTTTACTATACGAAAAATGAGTTACAATATGAGGATGAAAATTCGAAGTATAACTTGTGCGTCTAGAAATTGATTGTGTTTCATTTTTTCTTCCCTTTGACTTCTAATTGCTTTTAATTGATCATATGTAATCTTCAATCATTATTTTATGGTCCGAAATGGCTATTGAATATTTACATTTTGGTCCTCGAACTTTGAATTTTCTCCATTTTTGCCCATTTTCGCTCATCTTGTCAAATTCCATGATTTTGCATCAAGTTACACCTAACAAACGAAATATATACATAATTTATCAAAATCTACAATAATTAATCCCATTGACTGATCCGATAAGAGTACAAAATACATTTATCAGAATCCAACAATTCTCTTACTCCTTCACAAAGTGTATGTGAGAAGAGTCTCAATTTGATTGCTTCATCGGACACACCATTTAAACTGTAGTTTTGGTAGTCGGTAGATGTCCAAGAAGCGCAAGACGTCATTATGTGGATTCTCATGGGACTTCCCACAAAAGGATAACACATTCTAAATAGAAAAATGATATATGTATGTATCTGAAAGTTTGGTTGCCCAAATGCTAAACACACAATATTTGGTTGATTTGAAGCAACATGTGGTGTGATAAATTGCCAGAGTGGCAAATCATCTTCATCAATTTCAGCCGACTGCTCAACAAGTGCCAAATGCATGACTATTTATTGTTCTGTCATTAGGTTCTCTTCTTGTTATTGATTCACTATTTGAAGGTTTGTTCAGTTTTCATATCAATTGGTAAAAGACTACTGTATCTCGAACTTCTTGTGTAAGAAACCTAAAAAGGAAAACAAGAAACAAGAATTTAAATCGAAACTAGAATTAATAACAAAAACTAAATTAAATAAATTACTCACCGACAACGACACTAAAAACTTGATCGATTGATTCTTCAAGTATACGAATCTTCGTGCCTAATAATAATGGATTTTGAGTACAAATATTGAACATGTACTGATCAAGTATTTGTTACTAATTTTATCATAATCCAGATTCAATCTGAATTAAGGTGGTGAGCAATTTATAATTCTAAATTATACTAAAATAATCTAAGTCTAACGAGTTTGTGGTGGACTTTTGGAATTTATTGGTTAGAAATTTCAATATCACTTAAATTATTTAACATTCATTCATTCAATCCCTTTTTATATGTATTAACAATCGGATTAATCAATTTAGTTAGTAATATTTCTCGAGCAAAATTAACTTTATTTACATGTCTGAATGTTTATTATATTTCTATGCAAATTTATACACATGTAATAGCATCTATTTTTATAATTAAATTATGATTGCATAAGCTATAAAAATATCTCATGATCTTTTATCAAGATTTGTGTTGTTTATTGCACGAATTAGATAACTATATTCTCTCTCGATCTCAATATTTTTCATTAAACTATGTAATTGGTGACAAGCAATGGAATGTCAATTTGACTCACAATAAGCAATCAATACATAATCAAATTGACATGAAATTTATTGAATTAAATAAATAAATTTTCATCTAAACTATATCGTTCATCCTAACAATAATAAATTAGGTCAATCATATTTATGAAATTAAATAATAAGAAAAGATGAACAATATCATACGGTTCAATATATATAATGAATAAAGAATTTAATTCAAACAATTGTTGTTCTTTAGCACTGAAATTGCATCAATGATCTTCAAGTCTTCTTTGATTGATTGTATATTTTCCAACTAATTGTGTTCTTCAATTTTCAAATCCCAAATTGATGTGTATGTGTGTGTGTGTGTGTGTATATATATATATATATATAATATTTTGTCTCAAGAATGTAAATCCAGTCTCCTCTCTTTGTTTTTCATTAATAATCATATTCATAGACCTTAATTTATGCCTAATTTCGTGCCCAAAAGTGAAAGGAATTGGAGTTTGATCATAATTGAGAGTTTTAGAAAATTTCACTTTGGGTCCCTAAAGTTCAATACTACGATCACACAGGTATAATGCTGCGATCGCACAGGTTCTGAAAATTGGGGACTGCTACTGCAATTCTCAAATTTCTTTTGATTGTTCAGCCCCTGTCATCTTTTATTTGTTCTGAGAGTCCTTCAACTTCCCAAATTTCTATCATGGTCCTCGAGTTCCAAATTTCATTGAACTTTAATCCCCTTTATCAATTTTTGTTCATTTTCGTCCTTTCTCGTTTAATATCAAATTTTCTCCTAAAATAATCAGTTAACTAGCATAATTAAGCAGCAAAAACTCAATATAAACACTTTCAAATATTACTATCAAATGTCAAAATAAGTGCTATATTTATACTTGATCAAAAATCTCTCGTGTGTAGATGGTGACAATAGGTTGAAATTCGCCAACGCAATCTTCTAACATATACTTCCAAGTTTACCACTACAAAGTTCACCTTGGGAATCATTTATCATTTCTAGAACCTATCTCTTAAGAGAGATCAAAATAGAATTAAACCCCTGTTTGGTACCCATTAAAATTTTCATTTTCACTCTTCTACTCATTTTCAATCACATTCTTCAATAAAATAATATTTTCTATCATATCAATAACTTTTCCTTCTTTTTCAACCACACATTTTCCATCAATCTACTGTTCCAAAATACATCAAAAGATAAAATCCTAGTATACATAGTACATGTGCATGTATTAAAGAAGGGTTGAGAGAGAGACGGCTCCCCTCTACTGCGGGGACAAAGGTGGTGTGAAGTGGGCCTTCTGCTTTTACAATCAATAATGCTATTGCCTATTGGAATCTTCTTTTCTTTGCATTCATGTTAATATTGTTTTTGTTTTAAAAAAATTATGAGCCGAAAAAAAAAATTCTAAATTGTATAATGATGTATCGTCACGTGACACAATATAGATAATAGTATAAAAATGATGTACATATAACATAATATTCAGCCGTTTCGATTTTAGGGTAGGGATGGGGTGGGGGTGGTGTGGGTACCAAAGAAAAAAGGCATTCTTCCCTCACTTATTTTTGTTGGCCATCAAGACAGACTTCATTAAGGAGGTATTGATGGACCTTCACAGTTCAGCCCACCTTTACCTCTCACACCACACTTTTTCCTTCACCATATCATCATTTATCAACATCATAACACCCACCAATATGCATGAATACAAATAAAGATACATACAATTTAAAATAGTTCACCTTCGGTAAAAAATATATTTCCACAATTAATGATAGAATATCAAGTGTGCATTATGTCATTCAAGATGTAAACATGAATGTACATGTAATAAAATCCAACTACAAAATTTGTTCAAAACATCGCGTACAATAGTGCTATACACTATCGCTCGAATTGAATTAGTTCAAGAAATTTGTGTTATTTCAAAGTACAATAACTTTAATACATTGGACATGAACTACCATAAAAGAAAAAGGGAAAATCATACATTCGACTTTTACATATGCTTTGATTTAATTTAAATTCGAGTTAAGTAATTAAAGATTTATTTCAGAAAATCAAAAAAATATAATTGGTCTATTCAACACACATAATCATCAAAGAATTTCCATAACTATGGTAACGGAACTATATCTCCTGTTTTACACTCATTTTCTTTTCCATTCTCATTTTCTTTCTTCATTTCAACAACACATTCTATCAATAAAATAACATTACACATAAACCCAAAAATTCTCCTTACTTTTTAACCACACATTTTTTCGTCAATCAGTATTCCAAAATTTATTTTTTCTCCAAAATGGGTGTCAAACAATGTTATAATGTTTTCATATTATTTATTCATTAAAAGTGTATGGTTGAAGGCTTCACTTTATTCAAGTTGTAAATGAAAAGAGCTAGAGACTTCGGCTTAATTAAAAGCTCAACTTGTATGCTAGATCAAACATAATTACGATAAAGACAAGTTAACAAAATTTATCGACCATTTAGTCCACATTTGATTTGGATTAAAAAAATCAAATTTTTTAGTAGATTTTGATAATAAAAAATTAAAGTTTGATTAAAAAAATAATAAAATTTATGAGTCTTATAAAATATGTGATGAAAAATAGTTTGACAAAAAAAATAAAGAAACAAAGGCCAATGTAGAGCGTTCGAGTTTAACGTACAAAAAAATCGTAAATGTTCAAAATCATAGTTTGGTCTGGCGGGTCACAATCATTAGACACAAGCATGAAGCATGGCCTTTTGGATAATAACCCTTCTCCTAAACTTTGATTAAATACACATTTTTCATTATCTAAAAATTTGGCAACAAAATGACCTATTTAACAAAAACTAGCCCATGGATTTTGATATAAATATATTATTAAAATTAGTCGTCGACTTTGAATTAAATATTAATTTAAATGTTAATCTACATTAAATGGGAACATAGTATCCTTACTAAAATAGACTCAAAAATATTTAAAAATAAATTGTCCACCAGCAAAATTTGCAATTATTTATACTAAATAAATGAATACAAAAAGCAAAAAAAAAAAAAAAAATACAAACAAATAATCACTTTGAAAACCCTCCACCCAGTAAAAGAAAGAGGAAATGAGAAACATGTATTGTCAGTCAGCGTAAATTAAAATAAAAAGAAATAAAAACTAAAGAAGGAAAAGATAGAGAAGAAGAAAATGATGAAGAAAACATGCCTAATGAGCCATGGCGACTGGCGGTGGCACCGCCCGGTAATTAATACTTTTCTGGTTGGGCATGGCGAGCATAGCAGTATGGTCAATGAAATCTTTGAGTGCAGCAACTGATTGAAGAATTGTTCTAAGATCATCTGCACATGAAAAACCTAAATTCCCAATTCTTCTTACTGCATAAACATAGAATGTGATGCATCCTTTCCTGAATTTGAATCTCGCCATTTCACACCCCATCGTGCCTCTAATCAGCTTCTTGTTCACTTCTCCCAGCGGTATTTCCGGCGGCCATAGCCCGTCCATCGCCGCCTTCATATTCTCCGATTCAAAAACGAATATAACTACTTTTGATTTCTTAGTCCCGAGGCCTAATGTCAGTGTATGCCATGCATGATGCGCTAAGATTGTAAAGTTCGTGGGAAGAAAAGCGGTGGTTGAAGGAAAAGGCGACTTCCAATTGGTTGTTTTTTCACGGTGCTGTGTGGTGGTGGTTGGCGGCGGGAGAGAGATGAGGCGGAGGAGCTCTAACAGCCGTGCGCGGCGAATTGTGAAAGATTTTACAATGAATTGGCCGCCAAATCTGAGTCCCTTCACATCCGAACAAGGCTTAAATGCAAAATCTGAGGTACTTTTGGAATTTTGATCATTCGGGTGCAATTTTTTTTGCTTCTTGTTCTTGTTTTTCACTTTTTCTTCCATGGGATTTGGCTTTGTGCTTGTGATTTTCCAGGTGATTTGGTAGTGGTGGAGTTTTTCTATGGTATGATATGATTGATGAGCTTAATGATTATATTTATATATCCCTGTTTTAATTTTTACTTTAAATTAAAATCAATAATTAATTTTAAGGCTTATTACCACATAATATTCATACTTTTGATTTTTAGTGTACAAAACATACGTTTGATTTTTAGTGTACAAAACATTCATACGTTTTAATTTTTTACATTTTCATCTCTATTGCCACGTTTCATTGCAGAAAATATGATTTTCCTCAATTTTCATTCATTTTTGCTGTAAAAACATGTAAAATGACAAATATACCCTCTAATTTAAATAAAAAAAAGAAAACAACAAAGAACTAATTGCATCCATGAGCCCAAATTTTTCAAAAATTACACGTGTCCAAAACAAATAATTAAAAATCAAAACCAAAAATAACTTCATCTTCTTCCCCATCCAACCCCAACCAAAAGAAAAAATAAAAAATAAAATGGAACAAATGGAATCGTCGGCTTCCATCTAGCCAACTACCACCTAAAGCGCTGGAGTTCACACCACAAATAGTCACCATCAACTCCCAAACGCTTTCCCATAAATCAATTGAAGTTATAGCAAAAATGCCTCCAATTATTACCCTTGCTCCCGGAGGCTATAACAAAACAAAAAATAGATTTTCATCCAAACAGACGATGCAAGAATCCATTTTCCACAAACTATTCCAATCAAGAAGAAACAAACAACACAAAAGTCCAAAAAGAAAGCTTACCATCTTGCGTAATCAGTGGATAATCCAATGCAAGTCAAATTTAAATCATGCCTACAGCGGAAAATCTTACTTTGTTCACTTAAAAAAAAATGTACTTACAATTTTCACATTTGGAAAGAACCGTAAGTAAAATTCTCATGCCATATCAGTAAGTAGACAATCTTACCATGTCAACCGTGATATCCAAATTATGTTGAAAGTTTCGTAGCACCCTATCCATCTCAAATAAGTGACATATATCTTGTGTTGCTTATATATCAAAAACCACTTGAAGTGTTGAAGAATGGGTTGGCCTCCCATTAAGCTCTCAATTTATAGTCTCGAGCTTGAATTGAATCATAACTGATCATGGTGGCTCGAGTCTAGCTATGCCGATCTGCACTGCTTGTAGTTCCCAAATTTGAACTATTTTTTCACTCTTTAAATTTATTTAAGCACTCAATAAACAACTATCACGCATGAAAATCGAAATGAATTTTTTAAAATTAAATTAACATAAAACTATAAGCTATATCGTCCATTCTAACAATTAAACAATTAGCCGATCATAATTGCGAAAGGATACAGATAAATGATAAAGGACAATATCAGAAAATCACAATGAATAAAGAAAAAAATTTGAGCAATTATTAATCTTCGCACAAAATCCGCAGCAACGATTTTTCAACTTCTTGCTGATTATTGCAAATCTATGGTATTCCGCCTTCTAATCCCGAATTTTAGCCACAAATCTTGATAATCTAATAATGAGAATTCGAATTTGCTCTCCAGAATGCGTCTCTGAAAATAATGGAAGAAAACAATGTATGCTCCTTTAATTAGGTTGGAAGTCGTCCCCTATTCAAAAATTAGAATTTGAGTCGAATTAGGAAAAGCATATTCTGAGTCTCGTTTTGCCCATGCGATCGCACCATTGGAATACATGCTATCGCATAGTGGAGCTTGTGGCTGCTGGTATCTTTGCAGTTATGCAGAGGAAATTATGCTAAGGTGCCAGAAAATGGATGACCGAATAGGGTGACCGACCCTCACATTGCGCATGGATCCCGAGTGAATAAAATAATGTTCGACCCCCGAAGTGTGTGTTCGATCATCCCTTATGTCATCCCCTATGTTCGTGTAGTATGATTCTATGTAGAGGACCTTGTGATCACAAGGGTTAACTTTCTAATCCTGTGCATTTTGGTCCCTGAACTCAATTTCTTGTTCAATCCAAATGCTCCAATATTTTATTTAAGCCCATCAACTTCCAAACTTGATATATTGGTCTCGAATCTCAGAATTCATTCAACTTCAATTCTAATTAATCGAAGCTCGTTCCTTTTCATCAATTCTGGTCCAATACCCAAATTTCTCCTAAAGAATCAATAAACACACACAATTAAGTATCTAACCCACAAAAACACTCCCAAAAACTCACTTTTGATGGCTCGAATAAGTTTAAATTCACATTTATCTTATCAAGGTTTACTAAGACTTGATTCAATTTACTCTATGGTTTTATAATAGTTTGAGCTGCCAAGACTACCATTGACCATTTTGTTAAACTTGTATGTCCTATTTACCATCTATGACTATTGTATTTAAGTGCCTTCGCAGACAATCACTTTGAGTTGCAAGTTCTTCATTGCATCTTGTGTCTTCATCTTGTCTAATCGATAAAAGCCCTAATTCATGCAGTAAATTCAGTTCCAGCCATGTTCAAGTCGTTCACTGGAGATGGCCTGGAAATACAGGTCAGATATTTACTCATCTGTCTGAGTTTGGCGATTTCAGCACTAGCAAAAATTGGTTGCAAGTTTGCACTACGGATTCTTGTACATGTTCAAAGATCTCAAAAAAAATGAGACACAAAATGAATGAGAAATGGCTACCAAAGACAGGCCTCATTCATTTTTAGATATTATCCGACCGTTACATAGTAAATGGGCCTTTGAATTTGACTCCCCTCTGACACGTAAAAGACGTGTCTGTACAATGAGAATCCTTTCATTTACCACTTGCCCTTTTTACCCCTCTACAATCCAATCACATTCAATCAATTCCAAAAAAATGGGTGGCTGGAGGCATGGGGGTAAAACGGGAAAATCTTAAAAATAGATTCTTCAAAATTCACATGCAACTGTCTCTTGTCGTCAAAACCTTCAATCAATTGAAATTGGAATCTTCTGTGCAACGGGCAGATAATCTCTAAAAATGGGTAAAAAATATGGACAAGCAGGCGCTCAAGCTCAAAGAAACAAACCCCCAACTCAAAAATTATTGTTAACAGAAGAATAAGAGAAACTTCGGGGCTGTTCTCTTTACCGTTTTCAAGACCTTTTTGTTTTCGATTTTTCAAAATAGTGAAAACGCGTTCTCTTTCCTGTTTTCGAAAAAGCGTTTTGGAAAATGAAAAAAAAAAATACACTAAAAACTGAAAACGTCCAAAATCATGTTTTCTTTATTTTGAAGCCAAAACAGTTTAGAAAACACGGGAAGTGACTTCTCTGAACTTACCCTATCTCTCTCCCCTCTCCCGCAACATAGGTCCTTTGATTTTCTTTTTCCAATCTCACAAACCCACAATCCAATTGAACTCGTGTTGCCAAATCTGCGGGTTTTCTGCACCGATTTCCGGTCAATGGCATATTTGTGAAAAAATATAGGATAAATGCAGCTGATGCGGCTTCTAGGGGATTCATGACGCCGTTTGGTTTGAGGCTGGGGAGAGGTGGTGTGGCGGTTTTGAGTGATAAGAATGGGGTTTTGGAGGTGCGGAGGAAGAAGTTGAGGCTGTTGATGAGTGATTGAAGTTTTTCCAGTAAGTTTTTAAACACCCAAAATCAAATGCTCTCGTTGAGTTGTGGGAGAGGGGATGGGACAGAGGATATCCGTTATCCACCGGAACGATATAGTCATGTAGAAATGATGAGAAAAATCTCTTTCATCAATTGCACTTTCCTTTCATTTTAATTTGAATTGAATTTTGACAAATTTAAATTCAATGTTGTCAAATCTAGTTTCAGAGTTTATAGAATCTACTGGAAGGCTAAATATTAGGTGCCAAAATTAGTTAGAATAGTGGGATGTCATTAACTGTGGTTCCCGCCTAGTTTGCTTCATTCCTTTTGTATTTATATTGTTGTTTCATTTCATTTTCAAGAAGAATAATAGATATTTTTCTGATCTTCAATTCTCTCTCAATTCCTCAATATGGTATCAGAGCAATGAAGGTAATAAGGACTTGAAGCTTCATCAACGGCGGATTGACTCATTGATGAAGATGAATTTTGATTTTGAAGGGTAATATCCGCCATGAATGATCTAAATTCAATGGCGAGAGAAAGGAAGCAAAAGTGGCTAGTGAAAATTATACTTCATGGAGTCGAGCCATGACCATAGCACTTTCGGTGAAAAATAAACTTGGTTTTATCGATGGATCGGTCACCAAGCCTGAAGAAAATGAAGAACTCCTCAGATCTTGGATTCGGAACAACAATGTTGTTATCTCATGGATACTTAATTCAGTTTCAAAGGAAATTTCTGCTAGCATCATATATTCCGAATCATCTCGCGAGATTTGGCTTGATCTCAGGGAGCGTTTCCAGCAGAGGAACAGTCCTCGAATTTTCCAATTGAGAAGGGATCTAATGAATCATGCACAAGGCCAATCATCTGTTGGTGCTTATTTTACTAAGCTAAAAACTATTTGGGAAGAGCTTAGCAATTATCGCCCTTCTTGTTCCTGTGGTCAGTGTAATTGTGGAGGGAGCAAGAAATTGGCTGAACACTATCACATGGAATATGTGATGTCGTTTTTAATGGGCTTAAATGACTCATATGCCCAGGTTAGAGTACAATTGTTACTCATGGATCCTATTCCACCAATTAACAAAGTGTTTTCCCTCATATCTCAAGAAGAACATCAGAGGTCTATAAATATTACTGTAGGGGCTACTGATTCTTTGGCATTCTTTACTAGAAATGAAGTTAAAAGAGCCAATCCGGGGCAAAGCTAATAGTAGATTCCAGAAAAGAGAGGCATGTTTGTACTTATTGTGGAAGTGTTGGTCATGTGGTTGACAAGTGTTACAAACTTCATGGTTTCCTGCCTGGATACAAACCAAAACAGAAGTTCAATTCTACTAATCTGATGGAGTCCAATGGAAGCAATCAAACAGGTTATAATGTCCAATCGACTAATGTTATTGCTAATCAAATTTCTGGC